ACATTCAGGGCGCAATCTTCTTTTCTATGATTATTGTACTGCTACTTTGAATTTCTCAATTTTGACAATTCTGATCTAAAAGTAAACGAAACTTCAGAAACTTTAAATGCACTGAAATTCACTAATACCTACTTCCGCAAAAATCACCTTTTTTCGTATTTTCCTTGTTAAAAGTTATTTTAAATCATATATTTTTATCTCCTTATTCATAAAAAATAAAAATTTTAAAAAGCTTTTTAAATTGCCGTTTGCAAACATTTTTCAATTTATATTTATTTTTTTAAAGCTACCTTAGTTTTTATGAATAAGGCTATTAGAATTTAGCACAATTAAAACACGTTCCCTATCGAAAAGTTTAGTATAAAGAAAATTGGCTGTTCTCACATTTTCTTTCAACATCTAATTCGACTTTGTTTACTTTTTGTACAGATATGTCATCGCCGCCAGGACGGCGCAATCTTGTATTCTATCTTTCTTATCATATATGCATTTAGATCTAACTGTCATACTATTATGAATATTCATTAAAATCGTTTCAATTCGTAATAAAAGTAGTTTACATACTTCTAGTTTAAATATATTTTTTAATATAAACAAGCTTTTTAATTCTAAAATAAATCAACAATCTCAAGATTTATAAAAAATTTGTATTAAAAAAATACGTTCCAAAGCATCCCTGTTGATATCATAATTCAAATGCAAATTACAATAGAAATTTTAATGCAGAAGATTTTCCGCGATTATCATCATACAAATTTATCATCTTGCTTGCCCGAATGTCGCTCTGGAAAGAAATATATTTAAATTTATATATTTTCTTAAAAATAAATGCAACTTTGCTTATTTTTCCACCGTTACATTTAATTTAAACTCTTTATTTCTCAATTTTATTAAGGAAGATTGTCGCATGTTTGAACAATGAAATTCAAGTTAGGTGATCAGTTTATTGAAATACAAGTGTATCACAATGTCAGACGAACGAAATTTAAAAAGATTTTAGTTTGAAAATACTTTTGGAGAAGGTCTAATCGTCGCTGAAATACAAAAATCCGTAATGAAAATCCAAAATTCACTTTTCGATTGCTTATGAAGCATTTCAGCGAATTGCAAGTTCCTATATCGATTTATACTTTAAAAAAAATTGGGAAGTTACGACTTTTTTGCATTCCAGCGACGATGTGAGATAGGGCCTTTCTATATTAAGGTAAGGATATGTACGTAGGGCCTTTCTATATTAAGGTAAGGATATGTACGTATGTATATCTACTATACGAGAA